CAATGATGTAGTTCGAAATTTCGTTGTGATGACATTTAATCGATTCTTCAAGAATTCTTTCATAGTCATTATCTGGTGGTGAAACATGATTCTCTTCAAGATATCTGATCAGTTCTGCATTACAACTGTGAATTCCATAAATCCACATCGATGATGTCAGTTCAACTCCTTGCTTTTCCATGTATTTGATGATGTCATTCGAGCCATAAAATGATGCATATTCAATCAGACTGATTTTGTCATAAAATGTCAAAAGTTGGTTTGTTTCAAAAATTGATTTTTTAATGTAAATTTCGAGTGACAAATTTCTTTGTTCTGTAAATCTGATAAATTCTTTGATTTCGTTGTTTCGAATCAGTTCACACAAAGAATCATCATTTGCTCCTTCTCGTCGTTTTTCATAGAAATCGGATTCAACTTCCTTGTTCATTCGTTCAATAAATTCAGGATCTTTTAATGATTTATTCTCGCGGCAGTATTTTTCAATGTTTTCTTCTGTGACAAACGGTTTGATTTCTGGTTGAAAATATTCACAATAGTTACTCCTGATATAAAAGTTTTTCATAATTATTGAAAAAATGTATTCATCAATTATCATCATTTTTTCTTCAAGAAGAAATAGAAGCATTCTCTTGTTAACTTTGAAAATGTCGAAAATTTCTGAATTTGAAAAATATTTTTGGAGATCTTGTTTGAAATGTCTTAAAACTCGCTCAACTTTAGAAATAAAATTACGATCATGATGATGATTTTTCACAATGCTCACCATTAATTGTAATAATGCTTTGAATTCATGTTCGTCATTAATCATTTGTTGAATCGAGACAAGATTAATGAAATTTTCATATTTGTCATCTGCATCTGATTCTTCTTCAAGAAATTCTAAAAGAACACTCTGAATGTTTTTCATTTTTTCGACAAATTCTTCAGAACTCATCTTGTACCAAAATATTGAAATGTGATATGAAAAAATATTTTTATAATAAAAAAATATAATTATATCAAATTGTATAAAACATACTTGAATAATATTTATCTATATATATTCTATAATAATATATAAGCATATATTCTATGCGTTGTCATATTATATTAAGCCTTATATTGTTTTTTTTTTATTTTTAGTGTATATACAATTTATGAGGAGTTTGCTGATTTTATTCTACAGTTGGACGCTCATTTCGCTGCTGTCAAAAATGTCAATAAAAGTGCGAAGTCTGTCATCACTCAGTTCTGTGAATTCAATCTGCTGAATAAACATGACATTTCTGATTTTTTCAAATTCTTTCCCGCTTTTGTACCAGAAGAACATTTTTATAAACTCAAAAAGTATTCAACGCATGCAAGAATCTTAGAAAAAGTTGAATTTGCACACAATTCTTAATTAAAAAAAAAAAAAAATTAAATAATAAAATTTCAATTCAACAAAATGTCACAAAAATTGGATCATGTGCATTTATGCACTGTTACAAACTTCAAGAAGTGAAATTTTCGAATATTTCGAAGTTAAAAAGTATTGGAAAATTGTTATTTAACTCAACATTAATGAGTAAATAAAAGTCATATTTGCTGATGATTCTAATTTGTTATCTTTGAAGCACATAAAATGATATCATTTTATTCCGCCATTTTTTTCAAATTCTTGTTCATTAATCACAAGTTGATTTGTTTGAAAAATTGATTCGTAGTAATCTTTACTTTTTGTATATACAATGTAATTACACAGGACGATAGAAATTACATATGTAAATACATATGTAATTTTCCGTTAATTTTTTTATTTGAAAAATATTTTTACCTTCAAAAATTTAGTCAATTAAAATAAAAAAAGCATGAATATAAAGCAGAAATAATTTTTATTCAGTTATTATTGCTAATAAATTATTAAAACTTTGATATTTCTTTGATCATTCTTTTGATGGTGTAAAATGGCACTTTATATTTATTAAAAAATTCTGATTTTATTTCGACTTATTATGATTGGCTAAATCGTTTTGATTTATTTATTCGATGCATTTGAATTATTTTATAATAGTACCGACGTACAAAACCTTTTTTTCTATGATATTTTGCTTCTAATTATATCTATCAGATATAATCATCTGCGATAACATGGTTTTTTGATCAAAATTAGCAAGAGTTAATGAAAAATAATTTTTATCTTTAGATTATGAATAAAAATATTGTTTTAAACATAAATAACTGATTTACATCAAAATTTTTGATTTTTTAAAAAGTTACGTTAATAAAAATGTGATGTAAAAAAAGTAAAGATTAATTCGTAGCGACAATTTTTTTTTTTTGGCTCAACAAAAATTACCAGCTCTATAATTTTGTTAAAACAAATAACTTTTATACAACTAATCGTCATTTTAAACTTCTTTCTTCACTCTTTTAACTAAACCATTTATTTTACAGTCAAGACCAGGCTTGCTAAAAGGGCAAGGGCAGGAGCGAGTGGTCCGAGGTGACCTTCGGGCCGGGGCCAAGCGGGGCACAGGGTGGCCCGGGCACGGGCTGGCCCGTCCAAACCGTTTTGCCCGCCCGGACTCGCACCCTTTATACCATTGCCCGGGCAAATGCTCCAGGCAAAAAACTTATGAAAAAGTTTATAAAAAAAATAATACATTTTTTAGAATCTTTCTAATTTTAATCAATATTCTATATATAATACATCATATGACTAAATAATAATAAGTGATTAATTAATGTTGTATATTCGTTGTTCATTTCAGAGTTTTGACGCAATACTTATATACCCGTTAATATTTCTGAGATCTCATAGAAAAAGTGAAATTAATTAATAAAAATGTTATAATATCTTCATTAATAATTAATAATTTTGAAAAATATTTAATCAAAATTATAACTTTTTGGTGTGAAGTTTCATTTTTATCCAAAAAAACTTTTGCCAATTTGATCTAAGAAATGAAAATCATTTTATTACAATAAATTCATCATTTTTTATATAAAAATCAGGAACTGAATGACTTGCAATTAAAATCATTTATTTTATATCATTATTTATTTGAAAGAATTCTCTAATATAAAAAATAAAAATGCTGAAATAGATAGGAAAAAGAAAATTACAAGGGCCTAAACTTTTTTTTGCCCGTGGGTATTAAAATTGAGAGGAAGCAAAATTCACACGAGCCACATGTTTGGCCCGTAAATTGCTCAAGGGCCAAAAGTGCCAATTGCCACTTTTTTGCCCGAGCCTGCCCGGGCAGCCCTTTTAGCAAGCCTGGTCAAGACAAACATTAAAAAAATTTTTAAGATAACATATAATTTTATTTAATTGATACCAATTTCATTAAACAACACATACATATATGCGTTTTAATCTGTTTCCAAACAATGTTTTATCATACAAAGATGCTTGTTATTAGAACGATTCTTTTCCGCCATTTTTTCAAATTCTGATTCTAAACTTTTCTGTGACATCATAATCTCATCAGAATCATAATCAAAGTCATTTAATATCTTTGATTTTGTAGTATTTCTTGATGTTGAATCAACTATTTCAAATTTGTCATTGTGATTAAGTTTCAGATTATTTTTACTATTTTTTCTACTTCTTGATGAACTTTCCAATTTAATTTCATCACTTTTTCTGTTGTGTTTTGAATTATTTTTATCATCACTACTTTTACTTTCTCTTCGACTTTTTGACATATATTTCATATTAACTTCATCAAGTTCATTTTTATGTTTTGAATCATCCTCATGTTTTTTATGGTGATGCTTATTCTCTTTGTGACTTTTTGAAATTATTTTGCCTTCTTTGTGATGATTTTTTCCTGATTCAAAAAGATGATCTATTTTTTCTATGGGAACATAGCAATGATTTAAAGCAAAAGGATAAACATCAATATCTTTCAATAAAGGATGATTGAGAGCTTCATCAATTGTAATTCTTTTTGAAGGATCAACGTTCATCAACTTTCTTATTAAATCTGCACATTTTTCAGATAGAAAAGAAGGAATTTTATATTCTCCTGCTTTAATTTGACTCTGAAAATCTTCATTATTTGACCATGGTAATGATCCAGTAGTAATGAAATATAATATTACTCCGCATGACCAGATATCACTTAGTTTTTTGTCACATTTTCTTTCATTTATCAGTTCTGGGGAAGCAAAGCATGCATATTTTTTGTCATAATGGTAAGCATTGTCGATTATATCAGAAAAAATAAAATCAGTAATTTTAACGTTCCCATTTAAATCAAGGAGAATATGTTCAGGCCTTAGATCACAATGAGCAATATTAATTGAATGAATATATTTAAGTCCAGTTAATACTTGTTTGAAGTAAAAAGCAGCATCTTCTTCTTTTATCTTTCCGCGAGAGATGGTAAAATCAAATATACTACATTCACATAATTCAATAAATAAGTAAATGTATTCGTCATCAGTGAATATATCAATTAATTGAACAACATTTGGATGATGCATTAATTGATGATTTTTGATTCCTTGAATTAACTGATCCTTCTTTTGCCCTATAATCTTTTCTTTTGGAATTATTTTACAAGCCGCATATTGAATTTCTTTTGAATTTTCTTCTCTATATTCTGCTAAATATACAAAAGACCAATTACCTATTCCGACTTCTTTGACGAGAATAAATTTATCAATTCGCTTTCCTTTAAACATTTTTGTCATCTAATATATGAAGTAAAAAAACGCAATTCAATATGTTTAATTAAATACACTTTTCTTAGTTAAAAACAAATTCAATAAGTTTTATGAAATTGTAAAAAATAATCAATTCAATACCATTCAATTTTTACATAAAATATAAAATAAACTGAATTTATTTTATTTCAATTTCTATTTTTCATTCGTAACAAACAAATATAGATTTAATTATTAATATATATAACAGGCCAAACTGACAAGAAAATAATATTAATTTATATTTGATATTTATTATTTGAATAAATACTATCTTTAAATAAAACATTATATAACAAAACAAAACAGTTTTAATATGAGCCTTGGTAGTTTAATGGCAAGAACGAATCTCTAACACAGATTTGGTATCGGTTCGATTCCGTTCCGAGTCATTTTTTGGATTTATCTTTTTATTTTTATCTATCAAATGTAAATTTTAATTATTTTTTAATTAATATAATTTACAAAATAATATTTAAAAAATAAATTATAAATAAATTTCAGCATAACATTAATTGATTTAAAGATAATTAAATTTTAAAAAACGATAATTTAGAATGGTAAAATCCAAAGGTCAAATATAATAAAATTATATATGCTTCTTCTTTTTTATGCTTTTACCGTTAGATCATCATATTATATAGCAATTGGATATGATATAGAAAAATACAGATGTGACACACGCGACGCTTTAGTTGATCGAATTAATTCAATGGATTTATCACTTCAACGCCTACCTACGATAACAATTGATGAAGATCTCGAACTTGATTGTAATGAACTTCCCATGTTTTATTACAAAGTTGCCACTCTTCATCGTGCCAATACATTTCCCACATATTCTTTTATCTCCAACAAAACCAAAGGCTTTGCCACATTTACTCTGGATACATCAACAGACACAGATGACAATTGTCCTGGGTTTACATTTTCCAACATTAGTGTTATTTTCAAAGGCACATCATTAAATACGTCAAAAATTTCGATTGGCAACAATGTCAACATCAGCTCTGATCCGGGGTTTCAATTAAGGACCAAGATATCGGAGATGCCATTAAATTTTCTTCCAGTTTTTCAAAATCTAACATTTTGCCGACTTTCAATTTATCGTGAAGTGATGCCAAATTTTTCATATCCAGAAACGATCGAATTAGAGCTTGAAATGAAGTATGCTGAAGCATACATGTTTTCTATTGATCTATATGAAGATACAGAAGTGTTATTTGAGAATGACACAATGATTGTTGATCTTCTTAACAAGACGCAAATTATTGTAAAATTGCCAGAAATGATCAATTATTCAAATGCCTTTTATTTCAACATAGAAGCCTCATATGTGTCATTATCCGTTAGCGGTTATTTAAACTATACAAATGAATTTCCACATTATTTTTATATCAACCAAAATCTGTACACATCTGCATATAATAATGTCACTCTGAATGAAGGCAATTACATGACGCAATTTGGCACTTGTTTTAATATTGTGACAGGTGAACTTTTTACATTAACTTTGGTGATGTCGGATTTGTATTGGAATAATCCAACACCAATTATTGGCGTTGTTTTATCTTATGTTAATCTTCATCTTCAAGATGAGCTGATATTCGCTAATACTACTTTGTATAGTAACACTTTTTCTTATTACGGAGATTCACCAATTGATGGAAATTTGTCTATTCAATGCGATTCTCTTTCTATTCCATATCGAACTGAACCTGTTGAAGATTGCTTCATTAACATAACGGCAGCAACAACATCTGATTCCGTTGATTATAAAGGTGATCTTTACATTAAATCATCTGTTACAAAAAGTGTCAATGTTGATAATTTATTCTTCATTGATAATCCGTTAATTAATCTCGGTAACAGAAATTTAATAACGGTTAAAACCGTTTCTGGCAAGGCTAGAATTTCACCTTATACACCAGGTTCTGCTGGAACAATTACGCAAGTAATGTGCGTCGAAAACAATAGTTCTGTTAACCTTGATGATTTCGAAATTGAAAGCGATTATGGCGACGCCTTTCAAGTGGTTTTTGAAGAGGGATGTTTGTGTGTAAACAAAACAAAGTCAAGTAGTCAAACCTTAACGGTCACCATTAAAAATGAAGGAGACGATTGGACAGAAAATTATGAAAATTTTCAAAGAAAAATAACGATCACATTTTCAGTGAAAAATTATACACTTGATCTAACCGTTTTGTCTCAAAGTACACAACCAGTTACATTGATAATCCAGTCAATTACTAAATGCAATTTGACCATTAAAATTGACCAAAAAAGTGCCAACATGATTGAAACGTTACAAATTGGATCATCAACTGTTGAAATGAACATCAAATGGACAAATGTTGTGTCATTTGAGAGTGATATTATTATTTATAAATGCTGTTCTTTATCACAACTTTTTCAAGGCATTAAAATTGAGAATTTCAAATCGGTTACATTGAGAGAATTTTCACAATTAACCGAAATTGAACCTTTTGCTAAAGACATTAAAGTTATCATTCTTTCAACTACAGCAAAAGTGAAAAATATTACATTCACTGATTACGGTTGGCGTTATTATACAGATGATTTACCAGAGGACGAAGAACGTGAAATTAAAGGATTTAATCATTCGAATCTTCTTCTTCCAATTTCATCCACAAATGCATTTGGTAAGCTATTTAATAGAATGATCAATATTGGCTTAGAAACATCAAATCCATTTCCTCTTTATATTTCATTCAGCACTAATGTTAATGCATACTTGATTGGTAGTGGAAAATGGGAAAGAGTTTCATTTCAACCAATCATTTTAGTATCTGGAACATTGACATTAGAACTACCATCAGAAATACTTCCGATTGATTTCGATGATTTTAAATTTGGAAATTATTTGAATCGTGCATCGGCAAGAAAAGTTACAATACATCGAACAAGTGATAGAATTCAATCGATCATTTCAATCAATTCAAAATTCATTCTTGGTTACAGTTGTGAAATAAGTGTTTTAGATATCGATACAACTTTGTATCTAGAAGTTAATAAAGAAGCAGTTATTTACGGTTATGCAACAATTATTCATTCTGATTCTATTTTGATTGTCTTTCGAGATCGATTCATCATGAATAATGCAATAACACAAAGAATGTGGAGAGAATCAAATTCAATTGTAATGTTTAATACATCAACATTGAAATCACCTTCTTTCCTTGATGAAATTCAAATCTATTGGAATTGTGATCCTGAAAATAGAAATAAACCATCAATGATTGAAAGTGCAATTAATACAAACATGTTCTCTTTTGAGTTTGCTAATGTTTCTGAGTTTAACGTGTCTGAGAGTTTCGATTCATTCTTTAATCAACCTTTTCAAATAGCGAATTCTGTGATTGATATCAATTGTGAAGAATTGATGTCGAAAATTTCTTTCGTCGATAATTCTATGTCTTTCAATTTCGCTAATAAAACAATCTCATTCGAAGTGATTTGCGCTGAATTGATATATTCAACTCATCCAATCACTTTCAGTCAATCGGGTTATCAAACATCAGGCTTTCCTTCACACATTGGCTTGTTTTTGAATAGAACAATGAATAAAATAGATGACGGAATTGACCAGACAAAAGGAAAACGTGGTCTCGATTCTGCAATTATCGCTTGCATAATCATTGGCTCAATCGGTGTCATTATTTTCTTGTCAATGATGATCTACTCTTTCAACAGACATAAACATAATATTTATAATTTGGTTGATGAATAAATAAAAAGAATCTATTGATATATGCTTGAATTTGACTTTTTATATGCTTGGAGTTAGAATTAGAATTTGATCTTGTTTAAATCTTTTTTTTTTTTTTTTTGTAATAAATAAATCTTGAAGATTATAGATTTCGTCCTAATCTTTTAATTCTTCAATATTCATGAGCCAAATTCTAAACTGATTTTCTCTTTTGCATATAACTCAATTTTCAATTTTTCTTTGAAAACCAATGATTATTTATTTCAAAATTGAGTTGATTATTTTCATTTTTCAATACTATTCAGAAAAATTGAGTTATAACTCAATTTTTTAAATTCTAAAAATAAGTTTACATCATAAAAATCTAATTAAAAAACTTGTTATTTTTAAAGAATAAAATTATTGAGAATTAAAAAAAATTCTTTGTAATTAACTTATTTAATAAATTAAATTTGGTTCTCAATTCTTTCTTGATATTCATGAAGATTTTCTAAATCTGTTTTCATTCCATATTCTTCAAGTGCATATTTATCATCTTTTAAAATATTTACGATCTCTTCGAATGTCGGTCGTTCTGATGGATCATGCTTCCAACATTTTTGAATGAGTTCCCAATAATGATCTGGTATTTCTGATGGTCTCCTTGGCCTCATTCCACGACCAATTTTCATCATATATTGCTGTGATGAACGAATTCTTGTATCTTCAAATTCGATTTTATTTGAAAAGATTTTATAAAGAAAGATTGCATAAGAAAAGACATCGACAGACAAGTCATAAGTTTCATCACCATCCAAGAATAATTCTGGTGCCATACAAACAGGTGACCCTATTGCCATTGACATTTCGATGCTATTTGTCATATATTTTGCAAGATAAAAACCAAATAACAGCGGTTCATTATTTTCATCTAAACAAACGTTTTCTAATTTTAAATCACGATAAATGATTCCTTTTGAATGGAGTGTTTTCATGATAGAAGCAATACCAAAGATGATTTTACTACGAATAGTCGGATTGATTGTGTCATGTTCTTGTCCTCTTTTGTCAAGATATTTTGCAATGTCTTGAGTAAATGTTTCGAAACTATCTGAACAAAAATCATATACAAAAAGTGGACCATCCAAGCTAACTGTTTCTTTTTTGTTTCTTTTCATATATGTGACTTGTCTGATTCCTTGTTCCGCAATTTCCCGAAAATTAAGAGGATACTTAAATCCAACGATTTTTCCAATACCTTCCATTTCCAAGGAGCAACTAACATTCAATCCACGAATAATGTACAAATCTCTTCGTCGAATATTTCTCCAATCAACCAAAGAAGAAATAATAACTTGTTTTCCTCTTTTTTTATCAATTGCTTTAAAAAAAATTGACCAACCATCATATTCTAGATAATCTTGAATATCATAATCATCAAGATTGACAAGTAATTTAGATAAATGATAATCATAGGCTTTGGTCGGATCATTCGAAATAAAAAGTGGAAACGTTTCAAGTTCATCAATGTAATCTTTAAGAACGACATCGTCATCTAATTTTTTACATTTTAAGTATACACAATAATTATCATCAAAATCTGGGATAAGTTTCTCATTTTCGTATTCTTGGTTTGTTTCATTTTGAAGTTTAATAAGTAAATCTCTAACTGTCGTGATTTCA